CAGAGCAAGCAAAACTGTATAGACCAGCTACATAGAGGTTTGAGAACATCGCTATACCTATTTTGGCCTCTATGAGACTGACACACGCAAACACTGGAGGGGAGAAGGGTGGGAGCTATGTCTTCTCCTGGCAGAAAGACTGGCTGCTTTCTGACCCCTACCAAACATATTGGTCTATAAAGTGTTTTCAGAGGACATGCATTTCCAGTGGGGTCCTACCTGATGATCTGTTGTGCTCCATCAGCTGGTTGTCCTTGCCCAGGCAGATGTCACCCTGTGTGCTATTGCAGGCCATGTTCAAGTCTGTCTTGCAGAAGGTAGGAGAGCTGGCTTGAGGAGCAGGAGGGATGTGCTTCTTCCGCTTCCTCGGCAGTTTCTGCTTTGCCATGGCCAGGGAGTAGTACATCCCAAAATTGTTAACTATCACAGGTACGGGCATGGCTATGGTGAGCACCCCCGCCAGCGCACACAGGGCTCCCACCAGCATGCCTGACCAAGTCCGTGGATACATATCCCCATATCCGAGGGTGGTCATGGTGACTACAGCCCACCAGAAGCCGATAGGGATATTTTTGAACTGTGTGTGCTCACTCGCTGACGGGTCATTAGGCTGGGCTCCCACCCGCTCTGCGTAGTAGATCATGGTGGCAAATATCAAAACACCAAGAGCCAGGAATATTATCAGCAGCAAAAACTCGTTGGTGCTGGCTCGCAGAGTGTGGCCTAGCACCCTGAGGCCCACAAAGTGCCGGGTGAGCTTGAAGATTCGCAGGATCCTCACGAACCTTACCACCCTGAGGAAACCAAGCACGTCCTTAGCAGCTTTGGAGGAGAGCCCGCTCAGGCCCACTTCTAGGTAAAAGGGCAGGATGGCCACAAAGTCAATGATATTCAAGAGGTTTTTGATGAATTCAAGTTTGTTGGGGGAAAAAACCACACGTACTAAAAATTCAAAAGTAAACCATACCACACAGACTCCTTCCACGTACGTCAGGGCAGGATCTGTCTCAATTTCGTACTGTAGCACAGTTTCTGTTCCGTTGATGACCTGCTCAGTTTTGTTTATAATAGTATTAAAAGCCTCATGCGTTTCCAGGCAAAAAGTTGTGATTGAAACTAGGATGAAGAATAGAGAGGCAAAAGCGATGAACTGAAACAAAAAGAGGGAAAAGAGACATCAAACCACACAGCTCTTCACATTAATACTAACAACATCCGTGATCATTATAAATCTTTTACTGACTCATCCCCAAATGATTCACAAATTCGTATGCATAAAACTTTGCATCTAGGCCAGAGGAGAACAGCAGACAGCTCTCGCATGTAGACCAGGAGTCTGGGAGCAGGAAAAGTCTCGGTGATGGACACCATGGCAGGCTACTACTCATTCAGAAAGCAGCAACAAATTCTTTATTCTGTGCTAAATCATCTGAATTCCATTCAGTTGTCAAGGTACTTTACAAACAGCCCCCATGCACATCAACCACAGCAAGATTTGAGGCTGTCCACCCCTCACAGTGGAAAAGGGGTCTGACCCTAATGGTCTTGTGATTATGGTTCAGGAATTCACACCTGGCCTGAAGGGCACCTCAGAGGGTCCTAGGAATAGATCCAAACACCGGGTTTCCTTTGGATTTTCAATGATTCATAAACACAGGATATTTACTGATAGAAAATGCCTTCCATGTTACAGGTAGAGTTGGTTGCACAGCCTGTTATGTTTGCAGCCATCCATCACTCATACTCTTAGGCAGGACTAAGAGTAAACCTAGCAGAACCTCTCTCACTGCGGTGGCAGAGCTTTGCCAGTGTGTCAGGATCCACAATCCTGCTATCCAAGCTACAAATCCAGGACAATCTGAACAAATAGAGTTTGTTCAGAAACTCTAGATCTAGTAGAGGCACATGAACAGCTAAAATACAGTTAAATAACCTGGAGACAGCCCTCACAGAGGATTGTTAAGGACTTAGAAAACATATACTGCCTGATCTTCAACTCAGTCATCACAGTCAAGCATTGAAGAAAAGAGAACATCCAGGACAGGATCTCATAAAAATTAACACTGAGCCAAACAGCTGGAGGGGGGAGATAAATTTTCTTACACCCCGTAAAACGCACCAAATGAATAGGTGTTTTGAGGGTAGTTGTTCCTTTGCTACAATGCTTAACTTCCTTTAAGTGACAATACACTACCACCATGTTAGCACTCCAACAGCAATGGTGTGGTACATGAATAGATGATGTGTTTAGATCCCTCCCTGAGCCAGGATTTATAACATGTTATTGATGTGTTTGTTATTTTGGATTTTCAGCTTAATAGACATTTTATAGCCAGTATTATGCCTAAAGAGACAAAAAGATGCCTAAACAGGTTTTTGAAAATATCTAGTGCCTATGTGCTTCCTCACATATCTAGCAGCTTGAAATTTTACGATTGCATAATATCAAAAAACACATTTCTTTCAAAATGGCAGCAAATGACCGACGCTTTTGGCTTTGGATTTTTATAATTTTAAACTGTTACTTGCTAGTAAAACAAAAATATACGATAGGGATCTCAGAGCTTGAGGCAGGCTCTTCATCCTTTTTCATATTATTTATTTTAGTAAATAAAATTAATGTATTTTATGTTTCCCTTAATACTACTTACAAATCACTCAGGGTATCACTCTTTTAATCAATTAATTCCCGACGTGAAACCGAGTACCTTAAAGAAGCCCAGCAAGTAGAAAAAAATATCATATTCTCTACTATCACCCTACTGGAAAGAGCAGCTTACAGTCCAGGTTCCAGTGGTACAGGCAAGAGAAAATGTGGCAGCAGGATGCTGGTATGTTACCACACCAAAATCTTGAATCTCGTTACATTACTGGATTCTCTTGAATCCAGTTACAAGGGAGATAGAACAGCAGCCATAAGCAAGAATGCCTCTGTTATGTCACTTTAATCCAGGCTGCAACATTGCAGCAAAACTGATTTTGTGTACTTCAGGTATCAATCACCGAATTTAGTATTAGCACTCAGATTTAGTACTGTGTGTCACAGGAGTTCATTTGGGCTGGTACAATACCAAGTGGTTGCATTTTTCTAACACAGAACATAAGTTAGACAACAAAATGTTGTCTCTACAACTGGTAGAGAGAATTGATTTTATTATGAGAAACAAGTTTAAATTTGCAATGCAGGCCTGGCAAATTTATTATATTCAGAATCACAAGATACATCTATCTATCAAAAAACCCCATATATCTACCTATATCAGAGATTTGCAGCTTGTTTATGGCTTTCTTTCCTCAATCAATGAAACAAAGTTATTACACCAAGCCCCTCAATTACAAATGCTCTAAATCTGTTACCTTTCAGAAAGGACTGACTCAGGGACTGAACTGAACACTTATCATCCAGTCTGAACTTCTAGTCACAAGCTAAGCAAACAATCTTACACTGTCCGGCTGATTTTTACCGAACAGGTTTTCTGCCTTTGCCTTACTACTGTTTGCCTTACTACTGTTTAATCCTAGCCAGCGACCAAGCCCCACACAGCCGCTCGCTCACTCTCCCCCAGTGAGATGGGGGAGAGAATCGGAAGGGTAAAAGTGAGAAAACTCGTGGGTTGAGATAAAGACAGTTTAACAAGTAAAGCAAAAGCCGTGCATGCAAGCAAAGCAAAACAGGGAATTCATTCACTCCTTCCCATCGGCAGGCAGGTGTTCAGCCATCTCTAGGAAAGCAGGGCTCCATCACGCATAATGGTTACTTGGAAAGACAAATGCCATCACTCCGAACATCCTCCCCCCTTCCTTCTTCTTCCCCCAGCTTTATATGCTGAGCATGACGTCATATGGTATGGAATATCCCTTTGGTCAGCTGGGGTCAGCTGTCCTGGCTGTGACCCCTCAAACTTCTCGTGCACCCCCAGCCCACTCGCTGGTGGGGTGAGAAGCAGAAAAGACCTTGACTCTGTGTGAGCACTGCTCAGCAGTAACAAAAACATCTCTGTGTTATCAACGCTGTTTTCAACACAAATCCAAAACAAAGCCCCATGCTAGCTACTATGAAGAAAATTAACTCTATCCCAGCCAAAACCAGCACAACTACAAAATTGCTGTACATTCATAGCTCACTTATTCCTGGCACCTGACACCAACAAAGCCTCAATCTTGTGTGAGACAACTACAGTCAGCAAATACAAGCAGATTTATATAACTTAAGTGAATTAATCTCAGCAGATCTTTGCAAAACCTCTCCATAATATGGATAGAGAATTTATCAGACTCTAAGCCACCGGTAGGGTAAGAATGACCCCTGGGAGGCTCCTAGAGAATCCTCCAGCATCTTTCTACACAGTGAAGGAGAGAAGAAGCAAACAAATCTGTGGAGGTTGAGGATCACCAAAGCTAAGTCAGCACTGTAGTTTGCAATCGGGGTGGGAACTTTTAATAGATAAAATATTGGGCAACCTCTTTAGCAGCAACATTGGTGATTTCAGACAACTGTGAACATTTTTTGTCTGACAAGAACAGAAAATTACATTCAAGCTAGCCAAACTAAAATTTACCAACTCAGATATAATAAGGATTAACTGTGCATTCAACAGTGAATCTGACAACTGAATCTAATGGCAAGTAAATAATTAGGACCTGTTTCTGGGCTGTATTTCAGAAAGAGAGTCCATTCTGGTCCAGATCCTTTCTAAAAAAATGCCAAATACCAAGGGATTAACTACAGGCAGAAGTGCCTGACAAGCTATTTATTACTGTTTTGCTCAACATTGACACTGTGAAAGGCCACAGTGCACTTGGCACTCAGCACTTGGCAAAGCAGATCGAAATTTTTAACTGTGCACCTACATTAATTCAACGGCACTTTATTATCCCTAAAGGAAAAAGACATTCAGTCATTTCCAAAATCTGCTGAGTATCCTACTCTGTTATCCTAAAGGTAACCATCTTTCAGAAGTTAGAACAAACAAAGACAAGAAAACACTATTAATCTGGTGACAGATTTCTTGATAATCCCGCAATTTCCATTCACAGCAGACGTACACATTTCACCATGCACACAATAGCATATGTATCACTGATTTTGAGCAAAGACACTCATTCCTTTTATCTCTTGTTGCGTTTTTGTTTTAAACTGTAAAATCCTTGGATCAGGACATTCTAGACAGAGCTTGCACAGCACTAGCATGATGAAACCTCATACACAAGAAGACCTACAATATTATTGCAATAGTCAGAGGGTTCAGAGAACATGCAAGAAGAAAATGCAATTGCCAACACAAGAAGGAACATTTTATCAATCAAAGAAAAATGCTTAGGGATTTACTTTACATTAACAAAGATATTTCCTTAGTATTATATTACATGATACTAGGCAATGTGTTGAAAAGACTCTAGCACGTTTTGCACAAACAGTTGTAATGACAGAAATGAAATTAAGTTATGTGCTATCCTCACTTTATGCTTTCCTTCTGCTTCAACCTTACTCCATCTTCTCTCGTTTTGAAGGTAATGAGTCTCTAAAAACACATCCATTTTTGTTCATGTGGGCAAGCACCACATTTCAGACAAAGTCAGTACAGATCCAAACTGCCAGATTCTCTGGTGGGTGGGACCAACCAAGTTCTGTTCCAGTCCTGCTAATGTCCACAATAATTGGGGTACCACACAAAAATTTTTGTTTGTTTTTTTTTTTATGAAACACACAAATCTAAAAGGAGTTAGCCTAATCATCATTTCAGAAAGATCACAGCAAGAGGCAATTTTTTGTTTGAATCATTAGCAACCTTTCACTGTGAGAAGTTCTGACAACTTAGGTTTTGACTAGTTGCAAGACAAATTCAGCCTTGGTATACAGCAAAACAGCTCCATCGACCCCCTTTTTTAAACCAAAGATTGTGGCCCAAGCACATGGCTTGAAATTCTTTGGAAAGAAAGTTGAAGAAAAATTTTCAACTAAGGTCCAAATAATCAGGATCCTTTTCTCATTTCTTAAAAGTTTCAAAAAATAGTTGTTTTTTGTTTGTTTCAATGGATGAGATAAAATTATCTTTCTTCATTTAGGTTTTCTTTTTTCCCCCTGAGGGACACTTTTCTAAGTGAGAGAATGGTTGTACAGACACTTCAGGGCCACCAAACCAGCCTTTT